GAGCACCAGGCGGTGCGCATCGAGAACCTGGCGCTCATGTCGCAGCACGGCTGTAACGCCTGGAAGGTGTACAACGAGTAAGGCTCTGCGGCACCTCGCTGAAGTTCTGACTTCACCTGCTGTGTGGCTGCCGTGTTTTCCTGTGTGCGTCAGGGGAGCTTCAGAACATATCCCAGAACCACAGACTGGTTTGGGTTGGAAGAGACCTTGACGCTCCTGCAGTCCCAGCCCCCTGCCACGGGCAGGGACACCTTCCACTAGAGCAGGTTGCTCCAAGCCCCTGTGTCCAACCTGGCCTTGAACACTGCCAGGGATGGGGCAGCCACAGTCACGAGCTCTGGGACTCACTCCTGCAGGTCTACATCTTTCTTACGTTGAGGGCCCCAAGGAGTGAGGAGCACAGACTGCACTGAGAACAAGTTGTCTGGTGTTTGCATTGAGGTGGCTTTTTGTGTCCTTACTTAAATGGGTCAGATCCAGCAACTGTATGTTTTCCTAACACTTTGCTTCTGTTCTGCTCTTAGACATCTGGTTCATATGATAGAACAAGCCCAGAAAGAGCTTCAAAAGTTGAGGTGAGCAATTTTTTTCTGTATTTTTCAGAATGAAGTTGGAAGGAAAGTGAATCCCTTCCCCCAGGCTATGCAAGGCTTGTGTGTATGCAGCTGCCACGGCCATAGGAAAAAAGAACCCAGCAACAACAGTAATTAACAGATCTGACCCTGCCGTCCCCCATAATTCATTCATTTATGAATGAAGCAGTTACATTCGTAACGCCCGTTCCACTCAAACTCTGTTTGTTTGGTTTGATTTTGTTTAGTCTGAACCTCTGTTTTGAACAGGATGGACTGAGGTGGAATCCTCTCTGTAATGCAGTCATGTCTTCTTCCCATTGCTGATAGACTTCTATTTAGTGTGCAGTTGTCTGCCTGATGTTAGGTCTGGCATATTAAAGTAGATGCTTTAATGAGTTTACAGAGATGGATCACTCGGGGTGAGCAGTGTGAACTAAGGTCTACTTAGAGACCAAAGGATTTGAAGTATTCTGCATGCTTCGGGTGCTTCAGGGAATGAATGAATTTTGTGAATGATGAGCAGTTCATCTTTGCTTTGCTGACTGGTTTTCAGAGAGAACAAAACATTTCTGGTGGTGTATACCAGAAGCAGCGGGTTTGAATGTTTGAAGCTTTGCTTGTGGTACAGGGGCAGGTGGTTTTGTGTCTCTGTGGTTTTATTGCTTTTACCGATCTCTCTCTTGTACTTCTAGAGATCAGGTGTACTTTGAAATTAGAACTGACAGATTGTAAAGAAAGATAAAAAGAAATACATCTTCTTGTCCCCAGGAAAAACATTCAGGATCTGAACTGGCAACGAAAGAACATGCAGCTCACAGCAGGGGCCAAGCTCCGAGAAATGGAATCCACGTGAGTATCTGAAGTTTTCTGGTAAACCTTCCACAGGTCAATCTTTTGCCTGGAATTCTTCCATGCAGAGCATCTGCGATCTTTCAGTACTGTTGTGGGATGTTATGGTGGGAAAACTGCTTGTTGCTTTGCACAAAGGGTTTGTAATTCAGGTCTGTGTAATAGTTACTAAGGTTGAGTGAATCGGTGAGCAACAGATGTGAAAGGAGGGCACGTCAGCTCCTTGAGATTGCCTAAAGTGTTTCTTAAAGTCTGTTTCTAAATATTGGCAGCCAGTGGCTTTGATTCTAGTAAATTAAATCTCAACATACAAAATCTTAACAGGGTTAAAACCTACATTTTGTCACTTCTGTTGCTGTCTTTGTGCTTTTTTTGCGCTATAATTCTCTTTTTGTGTTAAAACAGAGGACGGTGACATAAAACTTAAAGACTTTTTAATTTCTTCTCCCTTCCAGATGGGTGTCTCTTGTCAGTAAAAACTATGAGATTGAACGAACTATTGTGCAGCTGGAAAATGAAATCTCACAAATCAAACAGCAGCACGGGGAGGCGAACAAGGAGAATATCCAGCAAGACTTCCAGTGAGCCAACCCTTGGTGTCTCACTGCAGCATATGCTGAAAACAAAACAAACACCTTTGGAGATGCTTTGTGTTTGCAGACATCTCGAGTGGCAGTTGTGTGATGTTTTCATTGTTTCTTTTCCTTGTTTTCATGTCTAAGACTCAGAATGTCCTGTTCAAATGTGTTGTGGGCATGGTTAGATGTATTTTAATTTGTTTGTGAATTGTTTTGTTTTTAAATCCCTAATGTAGGAGCTCTTAAAGAAAAACCTTTTCATGTTTTTGCATTTTCCCCTATGCCTTTAATAAATGCTGTTTTGCTATCTCTATGGCTTCTGCTTCATGTTCCAAAGCTAGCCTGAGTGCAGTCAGCAGAGTAAGCCTTGTCCACCAAACCCACTGACTGGCACTGCATGGCTGATGTGTGTGAACTTGAACCCAGTGTGGGAGGCTGAGTCTGGAAAGAGGCTGCTGGTGTTACCAGCATTTGTAACTGACCCACGCCAGCCTGGGAGAGAGAGGCTGGGACATGGTGCACAGCATTGCACAGGTACTTGTTTGTGTGTGCGAGGGGTCCTAGCTGGACTGTGCCATGCCTGAGGGCTTTTCATAGAATCACAGGCTCGTTTGGGTTGGAAAGGACCTTAAAGCTTATC